TTATTCATTTATTTATTTATTTATTATATATCTGTAATTTTGAAATTTTACCATAAAATGATTTCATCCTTAACTAACATTATTGTCCCATCTAAAGTAGCAAGAGCGTAAGGTTTTCCTTGTAATAAATTATTTTGTATGCTCACATCAATTTCAGTTTGACTTTTTCCTTTTAAATTTGTCTTACTGTTACTGCCAATATCTTGACACGAAAAATGCTTATATGTAGGCAGTAGAGAATCCTTTTCCGACTTAACATCGTAATCACCAATAATTACGTTGCCTCCAAGAATGTTACCGTCAACTTGATCTCGACTAGGATTCGTTTTAGAATTTTCAGTCGTTGAACTTTTCTTACGTCCTTCCGCGGTACTAAAGCTGTCTTTTCTTACTTCTGATTGCAAATTATTTTTCTTAAGTTCTAACAAGATAGATTTCAAATTTTTACCATGTTGAGTTTCACTTGATTTGAATAATGACTCTTTGAATTCGTAATTCGACACTTTATTCTCTACTATACACTCCAGATCTCCAATAATTTCAGTTGAAATATTTTGATTGCGCATTCTTGATATCCCTAATGTCTGATAGTCCACGCAACTCGCTGCTGTTTCGTTACTTTTGTGACGAGTTTCATCTTCTAAATGACAATCTTCTGGATTACATTTAATTCGCATAAACGTTCCGCCAGGTTGAGCAACTAACAAAGTTGGTGTTCCATCTGCCATATGCTAAATAAAAATTTCAAAATTCGGCGTTACCGTAAATTAAAATTCACTCTTTATATATATAGTATACCTGTAATGTGACTGTTCCTATTTGATTGGCACATTCCCACTTATTCAATCCAACTAACTTTCCTCTTCCCAATTCTGAATTGCTTGACCATCTGTAGGATCTAACCACACGGTCAGTCAAACCAAGTATCATCTCGTTTGCACCATCTTTATCAACATCTGCTACTAAAACCATCTTTGTATTGGTCGGAATTCTTTGTACATGGACACATTCCATTTTACCAGATAATTCGTTAAGTTCGCTGTTGCCATCTACTTGATCTAAACTTAAGGAATTTATCATATTAACAACTGTTTCTATATCCATTTTTGCATGACCTATGATGTACAATAATATACGAACTATAATTCTCTTTAAACGCGATATAACTTCCGACTCACCATGTTTTATGTTATCTTGATCGTTTGCTTCCTTCATTAATTGTTGAGTTGAAGTTGCATTGATGATATTAGGATTGACAGATCTTGGGCTATAAAAGATATGTGCCCAGCCATCTCCGCATATTACAACTAATGCATTTCGTCCATAATTAAAAATATCTCCTATTGCTACACTAGTTACAAGACCTAATCCAGGTATCTTTTGCCATAATTCTGAACCCTGTAATATAGTAAACAATGTAATTTATGGTAATGAATTATTAGTAAATAATATAATATCTATTTACTTTAAAAATATAAAGTTCTCCTTCTGCAGTGCCAACAACTAATTCATTATCACCATCATTATCAACATCTCCTATCGTTAAACCATATCTACATACAGTACCAGGTAAATCCCATTGCAGTCTTTTAACAAAACTAACAGCCCTCATTTTTTTTCTATATTATCCAGCTGGTACTTTAGATGAATTTAATGGAAAATTATGATTTGTCATAGAAGGATAAAGATATTGCCAACGGCTAGGTGGCCAAACTATAGAAGTAGCTTTAGCAGTGATCAATCCAAGAGAAACTGGTCCAAAAGTATTAGAGTCCATAGAACGTCCAATATGATCTCCTTCTACCCAACAATGACCTTCGGGTACCTAAGAAGTAATTATGGATGCAATTATCAGAATTCTATTATAGATAAAGATTTTTATAAATAAAGAATAAATAATTCTTAAATACCTGTAGAATGTCTGCTTTATATCCATGTGTACGTACAATATCTCCAGAAAGGCCTACGACGCGTTTAATTAAAATTTGCTCTGGAGTTTTTGGAGACTTTACAGTTACTATTTCACCACGTTGAATATCTTGGGTACGAATTGCCCGACGATTCAGAAAAACATAATCGGGATTCCTTTCGTCTGGATTTAAGGTTGGTTGCATAGAAACTCCTTCTACCTTGGCTATATAACCAATTGTGTCTAAAAAGGTGATCCCAATAGGAATGCCTATAAGGATACCCTCAAGAAAATGTCGTATTTTCATCTATTACATTCGTCCACTAAAAATAATAAAAATATTATAAATTAAATATACATAAGCATATATAATGTATTTGTTAAACATATCATTAAACATATACATATATACATATATATATATATAACCACTAATTCATTAATTATAACTTTGTAATGACAAATATTAACTCATATTTCAAACAAAGAATTTATGTTTTTTTCGTTATTAAATTTATAATAGTCTTTTATGTATAAATTGAAATAACCTTTTATAGGTTAGCATATAAAATATAAAATAAAGAACTTATTGTAATCTTAAATTTTTTATAGTATTAAAAAATTTGTATTAACAAAACTTTTAGTTTATAAGATACTAAATGAATGTTATTGTTTATTAGACTATAAATTCGAAATAAAGAAAGGTTACAAAATGATTTATGTGATAAATTTAGGTTAGGAAATCTATGTATATCGTTATACACATATATATGCAATATTGTGTGCAATATACAATATTATTAATTGTAGTTGTTTAATGGTACTACATAAATACTATAAATACTTGTTTTTTGTTATATAGTTTATATAGTATATATATTAATCAAACCTGAATCATTCATATAATATAGGTAATTATATTTTAAAAAAACATCAATATAATAATATTATTTATTTCTTTAATAACAACGTTAAAGATAACTACTACTACTACTAAAATATATGAGCTTAAATAATCTATTACTTACTGAACCGGTATTTTTATTAATGAACGAATCATTATTACAAAATGCTCCTACTTTGATTATAATTTAACTATATTTTAAAGCAATTATCAAAAAAAAAATTAGTTGATCATTATCAAAGTCATTTATATTGAACTCCTTTTAAATAATATATAGAGAAATGTTTTCAATAACTTTACAATTGGGCGTAATTCCTACATTATAACTAATATAAACATTTATAAGATCTGCATTTTCTTAATAGTGTGTAATAGATATTACAAAAAAATGCGGAACTTTACTTTGTATTATTGACATAAAAATATCTTGAAACATATTCAATCGTAATTCATAATTAACGCCATCTATTTATATAGACATTATATAACTTCATCTTATAATGACTATTGAAGTATGACTTGGAACATTAAAATATGTTGTTAACATCATGGAAGATCATGCAATTAAACTAATTTTTTTTTAATTTTTACATAGGACTAAATATAACTTTCACTTGTACTTTAATTTCTTTCATTTTACATAACAAACGCCACAAAGTATACATAATATGATGAAGAATGTTTGCGTTCAATATGAACTGCACAATTAAAAGGTATGAAATAGGTATGAAAATGACATAGCTATATACTAAATGGTTTTATAAAGTACATCATTAAAAAATTCTCATTTGTGACTCAAATACTGCATACAGAATTCCATATAAAGTTGAATACAATAAATAAAAAATGAACAAAAAATTAATAAATTGCCAGCATGATAAAAAATTCTAAACAACATTAAACTCAAATGATTGGTATGTGTACAAGCATTGCAGAGATCAGTGCTTCCCAATCATCATACTCAATATAGAATTAACACCACAGTAATAACATATTAATAATTATTTAATGCCTATTGACTGCACTTGATTTCTGTGATCATCGTTGCACAATGACTTACTGAACATGTGCATGATGCATTGCCTCTTATTTGGACCCTCTGATTAGTAAATTTTTGATTCTATGAAATATAAATATAAGATACAATAGGCAAAAATGTAATCATACAATAAATTCGATTCTTATAAGCATATTAGGTCTTTGGCAGTGCTTAACCAAGATCTATACCATTTGTAATTATTTTTTAATTCTTTTTTACTATAGTCTGTAAATTTTCAAGATTGGTAAACACTGATTTAGTTAAACATTTGTTATTATAGTTTCTTTTTTTTTATTCTGAACTGTCTTTTCATTATAAGGCAACCCATTATTTTCATCATTAATCTGCGCTATTTCAGTTTCCTTTCCAAATTTTTACAATTTCGTTGTTTTTACAACCGTTATTATCTGTTAATTTTCATATTTGTTGTCTCTCATTAATAGAATGAGATATTACATATTTTTTATATATTTTTTCTACTGTCCTGATTTCTCTCTTGTTTGCCTTCTACTTCTTCTTCTTCTTCTTCTTTTTCACTTTCTGTCATTTCCTTTTCTTCATTCTCCTCATCTTCTTCTTCTTCATCCTCACCTTTTTCTTCATCTTCTTCTTGCTCCTCCTCCTCTACTTCCTGCTCTTCCTCCTCCTTTACCGCTTCCTCTTCCTCTTCCTTTTCCGCTTCCTCTTCCT